GATTGGCTTGGGGACACACTCTTGCCCAGTCGGCACCCCGGTGTGATGGGGCATGGGGTTGGGCTTTGAGGGCAGAAACCACCAGCAAGTGAGCAGAAGAGCCAGTGAGATGGGCCCTGGCTGCCACAAGCCCACAACCCACGGGGCAGAGCCACAGACGCCCACCTGCGGGGTCACACGGACTGAAACCCAGCCAAACCCCGGCTGCCAAGCCCGAGACTATGCTGCATCCACCCCGAGAAAGGACTGTCTTTTCCTAACTGTCTGCTCAGGGTGGCACTTTGTCTAATGTAAATAAAGCATTGCGTATGCTAGCTGTGGCCCGGCTGCCCCATCTCATTTTGAGATCCCTGCCCTGGGCCCCTCCTAAGTGAATACTTTACAAGCAGGTGGCTGATCACTCGTTCCACTTGGGTTTAGCTTTCTCATTGCCCAGTTTCGACTTGGGTTTCTTTCTTTTGGCTGGTAGACCTGCTGTGGACAGTCGAGATGACCGGCCTGAGGCACATGGAAGCGCTTGCCCTTCCCCACTGTTGCAAGTGCTGGAACTCCGCCCAGTGGCTTGTCTGCCTGGGAACTCTGGCCCTCCTTGAAGAAGGAGCACAGCGAGCTTCTCCAAGCACAACTTGGCCCTCCTTTACCCCCTGGCCTGGTTGAGGGGGTTACTTGACTGTGAATGCTCAAGGCAACCGGGGTCGGGGGGGGCGTGTAGTGGGGACCATCCTTGACAAGATGGAGCAGAGGTGCAAGGAGATATTCTGATCTCTGCAAGGACTAGATAGATAGATAGTTGGATGATACATGATAGAGAATAGATAGAGATATAGATTAGATGATAGATAGATAGATAGATAGATAGATGGTAGAGGATAGATAGATAGATAGATGATAGAGAATAGATATATAGATTAGATGACAGATAGATAGATAGATAGATAGATAGATAGATAGATGATAGATGGTAGAGGATAGATAGATATATAGATGATAGAAGATAGACTATTCACAGAGAGGTTTGAAGAGAAGCAATGGGCCAGTAAGCATTTGCATACAAACTTTATAAAAATTTTCTAGAGGAAAAGTAAAAACACACACCACAAAAACAATAAAAAACAGACACAGAAAAGTCCCCACCTCCTGTTTGGTTAAAAACATAAAATAAACAGGCACAGAAGTCATCCCTCCATGGGCCCTTCCCTTTAGCTCAGAGCTACACTGTCTATATTTACACTTGGTGGGTCCTTGTTTCCATTCCTACCATTTTATCTAAGAGTGGAGAGGCAAAGGAGCATGACAATAATAGAAATTAATGACCATGAGCAATAAATACCACACTCACCAGGGCTCTGCCTGTGGTTTCCTGCCGTCTTGTCTCCAAAGAACACGTGAGGTCTGTCCACCCTGATGACTCCAGGCCCAGCCCCATGGACCAAGGGGATTTGATAACTGTGCACACCTGGGCCCATAGCACGCTCTGAGCCCACCGTGGGCTGGTTAAAGGGGCTAGAGCAGTGGTTCTCAACCTTCTGGCCCTTTAAATACAGTTCCTCATGTTGTGACCCAACCATAAAATTATTTTCGTTGCTACTTCATAACTGTAATGTTGCTACTGTTATGAATCGTCATGTAAATATCTGATATGCAGGATGGTCTTAGGCGACCCCTGTGAAAGGGTCGTTCGACCGCCAAAGGGGTCACGACCCACAGGTTGAGAACCGCTGGGCTAGAGAGTTTTCAGTGTAACCTCTACCAGGAAAATGATAACATTTCTAGCTTTTTGCCACTTGGGACTTCACGACAGAGAATGACAGTAAGAGATACAGTTTGGTGAGGTCCCAAGAGGCCATAGCGTATAGTACAGGATTTCTCGCCCTCAGCCCTCTCGGCATTTGGGGCAATTCTTTATTGGGGGGCTGTCCTGTGCATGTAGGAGGTTCAGCGGCAGCCCTGGCCTCTCCCTTACCCACTGGATGCCAGGAGCAACTCCCCAGTTGTGACAATCAAAAATGTGTCCAAATATTACCAAATATCTCTGCAGTGTGTGAGTGTGTGTGAGTGTGTGTGTGTGTGTGTGTGTGTGCGCGCAAAATCTCCCCAAGAAGTACTGCTCTGATGGTTAAGAGCAAGGGACACTGGGGTGTGACTGCCTAGAGATGAATCCCAGTGTCTGCAACTTGCAGGAGCACTGAATGAGTTAATAAACAGATAGTCAGACCACATAATCTGTCCTCCAAACCGGGGCAATTTGAGAGTGAAAGGGAGTTCTAACAATTTCATAACCTGAGACTGTCTTTGCAAATGGGCATGTGTGGTTGGTCCATAAGACGATATAGTGTTGAGCATCGAGCCTGACCTGGTGTCTGCTCGATGACCATTGTGCTATGTGCTCTACATGCAGGAACTTCATTTAACCCACCCCACAAAAAGACCTTATGAGGTTGGTATTATTATCATTATAGCCTTTCTATATATGGAAAGACTGAAGAACTAGAAGCTAAAGTTCAAGGTCACATGGTGAGTTGTGCAGCCAAGATTCGTATCCTGACAGGTGAGTTTCCAAACCCGTGTTCTTACCCACTGTGCCCACATGTGCTCAGTGCCCAGGGAAACAGCGCTCCCCGATATCCGTGGGACCCCACATGAAGTGCTAGCTCTAGGTCACTCACAGTTTCAACATTAAATCCACTTACAAAGCTGGGTGCTCAGGGTTCATTGTGATTAAACGCAGATACACGAAAATCACTGTGGAGCAGGAAATGTGGGTGGCAGTGCCCAATCTCATTCCCAGTTTTGTAGAGCTCAACAGGTGCACCATCCCATTAGGAAGTCACTGTGATTATCTAAGAATGAAACAAAAATGTTATTTTTCTTTTTTTTCCAATAATAAGTGGTTGTTTTATTTTTTTAATTAAATCTTTATTGTTCAGATTATTACAGTTGTTCCTCTTTTTTCCCCCCATAGCTCCCCTCCACCTGGTTCCCCTCCCACCCTCCACCCTCACCCCCCCTCCCCCGGCCACTGTCCTCATTCATAGGTGCACGATTTTTGTCCAGTCTGTTCCCGCATCCCCCACACCCCTTTCTCCCACAAGAATAGTCAGTCCACTCCCTTTCTGTGACCCTGATTCTATTATAATCAAATAAATAATCTGATGATCAGAAAAATGTTATTTTTCCATTCATATTTATTGTTTACCCTGATGCCTACTAAGTTGTTAGGACATAAAGTCTTGTTAAGTCATTGGGAACCAGCTGCCTAACAAAAGGAGCTGTTGGTTATTTTTTTGGCCTAGGGGTGCCATGAAGGCGATGGAAAGGAGAAAGCTTGGGAACCTCTGCACTCACCCTTTTACCATTGGGAGAACCCTGGAGGGTAGTGATGGAGAAGTCCTAGCCCAGAGACCTCACCCTGGTTATCCACTCTGGGGAAACCTTTCTGTCCCCATGTCACTTCAGCCTGGGATAATGGAATTCTTTCTCTCTCTCTCTCTCTCTCTCTCTCTCTCTCTCTCTCTCTCTCCTCTCACACACACAGCTTTCCTTTCCCTCACACAAAACTATTGTCCTCTGACCCCAGTCAGGCAACGCCCCTTTCCATCTGAGTTCCCTTAATTCAATCTCTTGCCACTTTTCAACTGTGTCAGGAAGCAAACTGGTTATTTTACAACTTGAAGTTAGTCAAGCTTCAAGTGGAACATCTCCCACTGACATGCAAACTGCCCCTCAGGTCAGAGGTCACATTGTCAACTCGGACCCATGTGACACAGTAATAAGCAGACCCACAAACGCACCCCTCCCCTCAGAAAGCACTGAGACTGCCACACTGGACCCTTCGTAAATACACAGAGACACTCGCAAGACAGAAGGGCAAGTGGGAGAGGCCTGGCAGTGTGGCAAAGGGGAGAGGGGGTGATGGGGTGGGTGGTGAGGGAGTTGGCACTGTTAGGGCCACAAGTGCACTTTACACCCTCTAACTGCCTGACTTGCTATAACAAAACTAGATGGCATGGGCGTGGTGGGAATGTGCGGGGCAGAGGAGGGGACATGGCTTTTTATTACTAACCAGGGGCCTCCTTGGACAAGGCACTGCTTTCTGTGCCATAGTTTCCTCATCTCTGAGGGGTTTGATTTCTCCTTGCTTGTCAAACTGGGGTGCCTGCGGCACGTTCACAGCCTGTGTGTGCACCTGAGAGCACTGGGTTGTCCTTCTGGGGTGTCAAGTTTATTCAAGGTCACTCTTTTCCCTCGAAGGCATTTTATACCATTGCTCAGAATGCAAAATTTACGTGCATTTTCATTTCAGTAGCTAATAATTGATGACACTTCCCAGGCAATTACTGTGTGGTGAGTGCTGTGTTAATCTCTTTATATGATCCTCATAATTACCCAATCGGATGTCTTATTCTTCCCATTTTGTGGATTAAAAAACTGGGGCACAGAGAGATGAAACACCCCCCTCAGTCACACGTTATTAAGCAATGATAAAACAAACAATTCTCCCCCTATCACCTCCCTCCAAATCTGGATCCATTGCAAGGTGCTTTGGAATTTACCCCCTCAAACCCCTGCGGCTTCTTTGGTGAAGCCTGAACAGCGGAGGCCGAAATGACTTCCAAAGTCCTGCTCCGACCAACCGACACTCCTGGATCAATTTTAGCTAAATCGGTGGATGAAAGGCTTCAGCGCACCAGGTGCCACTGGAGTATGGGAGAGGCTGGAGAGGCCTCGGGGGGTTCTGAGGGTTCCCTAGGTGGGGTTTCTCAGCCCGTGGGGCGCTCCCAAACCTGCCGGTGGAAGTGAAATCCCTTTCTAGACGACCACCTTACGGCCCAGCGGGACGTTCCAGCCGCGGTGTGTTCCCAGCCCGGCACTTCCTCGTTCCCGCGCGCCCGGGCTCGGCTGCTACGCCCAGCGCCGCGCTCCTCGGTCGGGAGGGGGTCAGAGGGGAGGTGTCGCAACCGCCGCCCTCCCTCTTCCCAGCCTTGGCGCGCAGTCACCTCCCAGATGAGCGCGCTCGCAGACAGCTGCGGGCCGCCGGCCGCCGGGCATGTCCCTTGATTGCGCGCTGGCGGCGGGCACTGGGCCCCCGCGCATCCTGGAGCCGGACAACCGAACACGCTTCTCCTTCTTCTCCGAAGTCAAGGGCGACCACCGGCTGGTGCTGAGCGCCGTGGAGACCGTCGTGCTGGCGCTCATCTTTGCGGTGTCGCTGCTGGGCAACGTGGGTGCCTTGGTGCTGGTGGCGCGCCGACGGCGCCGCGGCACCACCGCCTGCCTGGTGCTCAACCTCTTCTGCGCCGACCTTCTCTTCACCAGCGCCATCCCGCTCGTGCTGGCCGTGCGCTGGACCGAGGCCTGGATGCTGGGCCCGGTCGCCTGCCATCTGCTCCTCTACGTGATGACCCTGAGCGGCAGCGTCACCATCCTCACGCTGGCGGCCGTCAGCCTGGAGCGCGTGGTGTGCATCGTGCGCCTGCAGCGCGGGGTGCGGGGCCCCGGCCCGAGGGCTCGGGCGGCGCTGCTCGCGCTCATCTGGGGCTACTCGGCGCTCGCCGCGCTGCCGCTCTGCGTCTTCTTCCACGTCCTCCCACAGCGGCTTCCGGGCTCCGAGCAGGTGAGCCGGGCAGCTGTCGGGGCGGGCGGGCGGGCGGGGATCCGACGGGAACGGTCGCCTGGGACGCAGGTGAACAGCAGCGAGAAGAGGCCATTGGCTGCGCTGAACCACTGTGTCCGACACCGTGCCCGGCGCTTTGGAGTTTATCCCTTAAATTTCACTGCAACCGCGCGATGTGGGTCCCGTAAACGCCCACCAAAATGCTGCAAGTGGGGTCCCCCAAATGCCTGTAACATGCACCGACTCTTCCTGGCAAAATTAATGAAATAACGGGGGCTTAACGGCCAGCAGACGGAACGTGGGGGATTCGGAGTGGTTAAGCGCATCCTCCTAAATTCTGCTCGCTCGCCGGGCGCGACAGTGCTCATCACACCTCCTCCACGGACGAGCTTGCTGGGGCACCTGCCCTCGGCGCGAGGAGGAGCTGGGGTCGCGCTCCGCAGGTTCCGTGCGAGCCGGGCACGGGCCCTGCTTGGAGGTGGGCAGGTGCGTGTGGATGGGCCGGGGAGAAAGGGACTTAGAGACCTAGAGACCCCAGAACCAATACGGCCTCTAGGGGGCGGGTTGTGGTTTCTCCTCCCGGAGCCTCAGTTTTTCCAACTGCAGGACGGAAGGATGAGACTAGCCCGCGGGAGCTTACCCTGGGAACCCCGGGTGATGGGTGGTTTCAGAATATCGTGGGCGCCCAGAATGTCCCGCAGGTCCCAGAGGCTGGGCCCATGAGCTTTATTCGGGGCGCCACGACCCCCAGTTGTCATGGGGATCGTGGAGGTGGGGTGGGTCCACTATCTAAAAACAGTTCCGCGGACCGCTCTTGACACTGGCTCTGTCCGCTCCAGTCCGCGCCCCAGAATCGCGGGCGCGGGTCTGTTTGCGTCGCTAGCCTGCTGGGCCCCGCAGGGTATGCGAGTCGCGATTCACTCTGGGACCCTGGACTTGAGCGCGGGCTGGGGAGGATAGTGGCCGCTGGTTCCGGCTGCTGTCCCCTGTGTGTGAGTCTTCCTGCGCCTTGCGAGGGCGGGCAGGGGAAGGACTCGGGTCTGTGCACCTTACCAAAAGGCGGCTCAGCCTCCCCAGGCTGCTGCGGCTGGGTTCTTCCCCCTCCTTCTTCCTCCAGAGGTCGCTTCCCACGAAAGCTCAGCCCTGGCCCGAGGAGGGAGGGAGGGCACCTGAGCCAGCCTGACACAAACCACAGCCCCAAAGAGAGGCGCGTGCAGTGGCCAGAGGGGTGGGAAGGTAGGGAGGCTGGGTTGGGAGGGGAGTGTGTGTGAGGAGAAGGCTTTGAGCCTTGGACCAATGCCTCCCTGGGTGTCTCTTCCTGAGCCTGGACACAGAGTTGGGCTTCTCTGGGGGTTCCCCTGACCTGTCTGTCACCCAGGCCTTTTGCTGGGGTGGGGGAGAAGTCTGCATCCTGTGTAAGCAGTATCTTTTTAACACAACCCTAAAAGTCCCTTTCCTAATAGTTGATGTCTTGCGTGGAATTCATTGTGGGGGTTTTGCTTGTTTGGTTTGTTTTGTGACCAACAGGAAGGAACTGTCTCAGGCCTGTGGCACTTGATGGAAGAATATGTGAGCCTGTGGCATGTCTCTTTAAGTGGGGCCAGAAAAGCTGGGATTAGCTGAGCTGGTGGGTGCCATTGGCATGGGGAGACCAAGGGCCCTAGCTTCATGGCAGCTGGTCCTCCTCTGCCCAGATACACTAAGAATCCAGGTGGCCACACAGTTGCTCTCAAGTAAGTGGAAGCCCAGGCCTCACCCCAGGCCAATTGGATCAGCTTGGAGCTGGGGTTCCACCATCAGTCTTTTGATTTTTTTTTTAAAGTAATTCCCTCACTGAGTTAGTGCTTCTGTATTTTTAACAGAACTTGAGGGATTTCTCCCCATTTTTTTTTTTTTTTACAGAAACAAATGGCAAATCAGGGAATTAAGGATAGAGCTTAAGGGGATCTTATGTTTCTAGATGTGTATCTTGTGCCTCTCTCTTTACAATTGTTTTAGGTACACGCCTACTTAACTGTCAAATAACAAAAAATGAGGCTCTTGTTGCCTCTAGGCCAAAAGCCCAGACTACAACTGCTTGCCGACATGGACACCGCAGTTGTCTTCTGTGTCTTTCCACTCTGTATTTTACCCCTGGGTTGGGGGGCGGGGGGGGCGGCACCTGGATGTGGTCAAAGTCCTCTGCATTCCGCTTCCAGAATGACTAGAATTCCGTGCAAGGCGCTCCCATGGAGATCTGTGTGGTGGTGGCCTTCCCTCCGTTCCCCTTGGGCAGGGCACACAGACCCCTCTGATTTTAATTCGAAAACACCTCCTTGGTCTTCAGAGCCTTAGGAGAGGGATTTGGGCAAAGCCACAGGGAAAGAATGGGTTCTCACAGCACCGCAGGAGATTGGAGGACAGGTGAGTTGGCTACAGGAGCCCTGTTCCCGGAAATTAGTAGAGGTGGGGGGAGGGAGCATGTAATGAGAATTCCACAGTCCTTTCCAGCTCTCCATCCTCTTTGTCTTTTCCCCTTTGTGTTATGCCTCCCCCCCCCCACCCACCCCCACCCTTGCACCTGCCAGTAAGCCAACAAACAGAAAAAACCCTCGTTCCTCCAAGGCTGTGCCCTGAGCGTGCAGGAAACAGCTCTTTTTATAGGTGAGCAAACAGGCCCAGTGGTTTAAGAAGTAAGTTAAAAAGAATGAGAAATGGGGGGACAAAAGGGAGTGTGGCCATTAAAAAAAGAGAGACAGAGAAGGATCTGGTCTAGACTGAACTAAGTCTCATATTAAAATCAGCAAAGGCTTGTTTTCTCAGTCCCCTACTGCCCATTCCTGGCTGTAGGTTTGGCTTGCCGCCTCCCACTTGGACATGAAATATGGAGGTTGTGGATGGGGGACATTTCCTACCCAAACCACAGGCGCAGAGAATGAACTAACTGACCCTGAGCACAGGCTGGCGCTCTGCCCTCAAGGAGCACTGGCCAGGGGGCTTTCTGCTTACCTGGACCTCCAACCCCCGAGCCCCACCAAATCAGAAACATGATTCCCTTTGTCCATCTGGGCAGTGGGTGCCCAGCAGTCCAGGGTAACCCAGCAGTTCAGGGTGACTTCCATGAAGGGAGCATGAAATAATGGACATTTCAGAAAATGCTGCACAATTTGGTGTGACGAATGTGGGCTTTGGAGTCAGATGTTGTGAATTTGAATCCTATCTCTGCCATTTAGGAGCTGTGTGACAGGGGCAAGCGAGTGGTCCTGACCTCTATACCTCGGCTTCCTCATTTGCAAAAGGGGCCTGATAACAGATTCTCACTTTCTAGGATTGTCATGGGAACTGATATTCAGTAAGTGGGCCAACATCTGGTACAGACACGGTTAAGCGCTCAAAACTTACCAGCTATTCTTAGTTTCCTTATCTGTGGTTAGAAATATTTTAAACAGTCTCTAAACAGTGTAATTCTTCTGATTGCTGTAAAATAATAGACTGCCATTTTAAGAGGGTGGACACATCCTAGTAACTTAGACATTTCAGCCAGGCCAGCTCAGCCTGTACCAACGGCATTCCTGCCCGTGTGTGCCGTGGCCCCGGTGGGGCGATGACCCTCGCTGGCAGCTGGGGAGGACTGTCCACCCTGGCCAGAATGTGCGGCCCATTTATTCTTCAAACATTTGCTGAGCACCCCTCCCCCTGCCTTCACCCTGGGTTTCATGCCCAAGACACTTTCAGCCTCTTCAAGGAAGTGCATTTTTTGAGCATGCAGATGGTCCCAGGCCCTGGCAGAATTCAGTCCCATGAGTAGGTGTTCTTGTGTTTATTTCCTGGAGGAAGAAATGCCTAAAGTCATAAAGCAGGTAAGAGATGGAACTGGAATTTAGCCAGGGTCAGTCTGTTCCTCCTGGTGTCATTTTCATGAGTTCATACTTCCTTAGCAGCCTTGGTCCCACTGCCCACCCTGCCCGGATTTAGTACGAGGCCAATAATGCCATCGTGTCTCTATTGAGTGTGGGTTTGGCTCAGGAAACAGTTTGCTTGCCGTTGTTAACATTAGAGGATGCTTTTAAGATAAAAGACAGTAAGTCTATCGTTTGCATTGGTATTTTCTGACTTTTCTGTTGGGAAGCTGATAGGAGAGGAGATGTGCAAGTAGGATTTGAAGTTCCTTAAAATGACCTTGAAGTCTTACATTTTCTGTTTGAAGAGGTGGGACAGGAAGGATGATTTATGAAGTGATCCCCAGGGTGTTCCAGAAGAGTCTTTAGAGCCCTAGCCAAGTAGCTTAGTTGGTTGAAGCATAGTCCTATATGCCATGGTTGCAGGTTCAATCTCCAGTCAGGGCACATACAAAAATCAACCAATGAATGCATAGATAAGTGGAACAACAAATTGATCTCTCTCTCAAAATCAATTTTAAAATACTTAAAAAAAACTATCAGAAGAATCATTACAGAAGCTGATAGGAAACAGCTGGAATCAGGTGGCATTTGCCTGTAGGTCAACCAGTGTGGGGAGAAGGCAGCATTTGAGCAGGGCCTGTGGAAAGATGTCCCTCTCCACAGGAGCAAGAATGATACCCAGCGGAGTGTGAAGATGAGAGGCCGGTAGCCAGACAAGGATGTGGGGGACTGAAGGAACATTGCAGGCACAGGAAATAGCCCATAGTCAGCAAGAGATTGTGCCAGGAGGGTTGGCAGGGGCCAGCTGGAGAAGGGCCAGGTCCACCCCTTCAGGGAGAGATGGCCTGGTCTGGGAGGGGTGGCCAGTTAGAATGAGATCTGTGGGTGGGTCAGATAGCTGCGAGTTGGAACTCCGAGGTTCCCTCTGAGCGGGGAGGCGGAAGGCAGAAGGCTAGTACTCAGGTTCCTGGCAGCTTGGGGAATGGCAGCTCCATGCGGAGTCAGTGACTGCAGGAGGTGGAAGCTTTTGGGAGTGGGAGGTGGGAGGCTTGACGTGCCTGTGAGGCATCCTGCAGAGATGTCCTCAGTAGTGGGGTGAGTCTGAGGTTCAGAAGAAGACTGGCTGAAAGGACTAGATTTCAGCAGCATCTGCAAAAAGAAGCCATGGAAATGAACGAGTGTGTTAGGGAGGGGTGGAGGTTGGGCTGGGGAGGAGGCAAGTCACATGTAACCACACGTGCCCGGTCTCCTGCCTTCATCCCTTCTGGTCCTGACACTGAGCTCCAGCTCCTCCATTCTCCGGAAACCCCATCCTTTCAGACACAGCTGACACAAACGTCCAGGATGCAGCTTTGTCCGGTGACTCCACTCTCCTGTCACCTGTAGATTGCTGGGCGCTTCCAGCTCAATGCCCTGCATTGAAGTTTCCGAGGGCCTCTCCCTCCCTGACTGCAGAGATCAAGCCCACGCTCACTGTGGCCTCACCGTGGCTCAGCCACCGTGGCTTGGGTCAGTAAGTGGTTGAACAAACGAATTAAAGGACACTTGTTGACTCAGCCAGCTTTACTTCTGTAGCTCAGTAACAAAGCAGGCCTAGCACTTTGGGTTTTCAAATTTCCTTTTTAAAATCAGGAGCCATTTCAAACACGCAGAGAATATTATAACGCTCCTGCCCCCACCTTTGAGATTTGATTCGCTGCCAAACTCCTGTGAGTCACAGCCTGGGAGAGAATACCTAGAATCAAAACGATTTACGTCAAATAGACTTTCCCATAGAAACACAATTATAACATCGAGTTAGAGCTGTGACTGCGGGCCTGGTGCTTGCTGATTTTTTCTTTTTTAAATTTTTTAAAATGAAATTAAACACCGCATTTAACCAAGGATGCCCTGGGGTGAGGTTCTTGTTTTCCCAGTTTTGCTCATTGTTAGGCACGTGGGGCTTTCTGCCCTGGTGACTTTCTGTGCCTGGCCCATCGTCCTTGTTTTGCTCATGTCTGACTGTCTACCACAGCCGGTCTTAGCTCTTTAGGGAAAATATATGATTCACCAGGACTACATCATTAGTGTTATATTATTTGAGGAGGACGTTTCTAAGCCTTAGTTTCCTCCTCTGTGTAATTCGAAAAATCGTATTAATACATCTCCATAAGGTTGTTGTGAACACCCAATGAGATAATGTACGTACAGTGTTACCTGGTGTGGACAAGTGCTTTGTTGATACTGACTAGGAGAAGAAGGGACTATTTGACAGTATTTTGAGCTTGACCACCTAATTATGATACATGTTGAGAAATGATAAAAACTTTGCCTTTGCCTAGTATAGCATTTAGTAAATATTGAATGAATGAATGGTGCTATGGATGATACTATTTCTTCTGGACAGTGGTTAAGATGCCTTGTCCATCAGAAATATATAATACGGTCCTTTTACACAAATATACTCTTCAAAACCTATGTCACGTGTTTGGAAGAGCAACTTGTTTCCTGAACAGTTTTGTTCCTATAGTGAAGCAGGCACAGGATATTTGTGTTTGGGAGGAGGGGTGGGTAGATGATAGATAGATAGATAGATAGATAGGACTCTTCATTGGCCTACTTATTCATCAGAGGACACTGTTGCAGCATCTCTTAACTATTCAGTAATGTCCCCGCTGTTTGGGGGTCTGTATTAATGCCAAATATTTGAATTCAACACAACACAGTGGCAGCAGCACGGTCACACCTGCAGGTTCTTTAGCCACATTCCAGTGGTCGCCACTGTGCTTGCGTCTTGCTCTGGGGCTGCCGTGTGCTCCTCTGGGGAGAGGCCCGCGGGACAGAACTCCCGAGTCTGGGCACCAGCATTGCCCTGGCGTCAGCCATGCCCTTCTCTGATGCAGATGACACTTGTAGACGTTTGCACAGCCTTTAAACCCTATGCCTTAATGTGGACCCTGTTGCCTTGAGCACAGGGCTTGGAGTCATGCCTGGGAACTAACTCTGGCTCTTACCAGCCTGTGACCCTGAGGCCCAGTTGCCTCCCCTGGAGAACGGGAATAATAATTATAGTTATTGTGAGGTCAGAGGCAAATGATTTGAAAGTGGGGTTGTGTGGGCCGTGGAAGGGATTCTGGGATTTCTTGTCAGTTGTGTGGTAGTATAACTGATACAACAGTGTTACAGTGCCAGGTAAACCCCCAACGGGAATGAGCTTAAGGCAAATAAGAAGCCAGCATTTAAATGGCCTTCTCTTCCTTCTTGTGACTAGGAAATTCTGATTTGCACACTGGTTTGGCCCAGCATTGCCGGAGAAATCTCCTGGGATGTGTCCTTCGTCACTCTGAACTTCTTGGTGCCAGGACTGCTCATTGTGATCAGCTACTCCAAAATTCTACAGGTACGTGTGCTTCCGGACCACAGCTGACCTTCACTCAGGTGGCGTCTTAGCATTTCTGGGTTAGAAGTTACCTTAGCCAGAAGTTACCAATTCTGGCTCACTGCTGAGATCTACGCCTCCTGCAAAAAGAAAAGTTATACCTTTATGATTATTTGTCACTAATCACTAAATACAAGTTTATTACAAAAAATTAAAGAAATATGGAAATGTGTAACATACAAACTAAAAATCTATGCTACCCCGGTTGTGAATTCATGGTATGTTTTTCCAAGTTATTTACATATAGACATAGTTTTATTCTATGTATGTGATAAACCATATAAAATGATCAAATATCAACTATTTTTCAGATTTGAGATACTGCTATCTGTTTCTTAACTTTCTTTTTTCGCTTAACACTCTATCATAACATCTTCCCATATCAGATCCTTTATCTCTGCCTCATTATTTTTAACGGCTTGATGATCTTCTGTGACATAATTTATTTTATGGGCTTTAGGACTGTGTCCTTGTTTCCCTACCACACACAGCAATGTAGTGAGAGAACACACGCTTTTAAAATGTTTTATTGATGCATAATCTACATACAGAAAAGCACACCCAGCATACACACCCAGCTCACCAACTGACCCCACTCCCGGAGCAGCTTCCAGAAACAGCACGACAGACAGCACCTTCCCCAGCTCCCACCACTCTCCTTCCACCCGCTGCCTCAGCCTCCAGCCCCGGAAATGTGCCTTTCCAAAGCCGCTGACACAGGCCATGGCCTCTGCCTTCGGAGCAAGCATGTAGGGGTGTAAAAAGACCTGCCAGCCTGTTTACATGTATGTGCTGGCCCAGGCCAATCATGTGTATGTGTGTTAGTGCCTGTTTGAGGTTTACTGCAAAGCCTTTGAATCATCTCAGAGGTTTACAGTTGTCAGATCTTGGTTTTACAGCATATTATGGGTCAACTGGCATACAGGGATATTGAAGTGGGGCCCTGTAGGTCCTGCTTGCTGTCTGGCCACTTTTTTTTATATTTTATTGATTTTTTACAGGAAGAGAGAGAGATAGAGAGTTAGAAACATCAGTGAGAGAGAAACATCGATCAGCTGCCTCCTGCACATCTCCTACTGGGGATGTGCCTGCAACCCAGGTACATGCCTTGATCGGAATCGAACCCGGGACCCTTCAGTCCGCAGGCCGACGCTCTATCCACTGAGCCAAACTGGTTTCGGCCTGTCTGGCCACTTTTATGGCTCTTTCTTTGTAGCTGAGATCTGTCACCTGTTTAGATGCTCAAAACCCAAAGCCAGCTGCACCTCCATCTGAGTCTGCTAATCCTGGGTCCCATGGTATCCCCTAGGCTCCCCCCCATCAGTGGACTTCTGACCCTCCTTCAAGTGACCCCTTCTGGGCTTTTCAAGGGCATGAGGTCAGTTCAGGCCTAGCGTTAAGGTCTGTAAGGTGCCTGCTACAGCGCCTACCATGTGTAAGTGCTATATGGTAAATGTTTGCTGTTACTGTTATGTTAAAAGAAGTGAGGGGATAAGGAAAAGAAATGTAAAATGTATAGAGATGTAGAAATAATTTTAAATTATTTTAAAAAATTATTTAACAAATATTTATGTAGTGTTTATAGTGTGTTAGGAACTAACTCATTCAATACTGCTAAGAATGACAGATGAGGAAACCAAGGTACAGAGAGGTTAAGTAACTTGCCCGAGGCCACACAGCTCATAAGCAGCTGTATCAAAATGCAAGGTCGCCTGGCTCCAGAGTTCCTTAGAAGTCAAGAGGACTCTGGTCTTCTCCTTTCACTCATGTCTCCTACTTCTCAGCTGCCAAGAGGGAGGACTGACTTATTCTAAGAAAAGGTTTCCTACTCACCCCTTCATTCCTTCATTGTTTTCTCAGGCAAGGGCCCACCTGAACATTCTAGGATATCCCAGGAGCCCTGATGAGTTGGGGGATATGTAAAGAAAGTGAGGGGATCTAATTATATCTTTGCCCCATCACTCAGGGCACCATTTCTCAACTGTGAGTCATGATAGATATTCTGTTTCATCCAGGAGCTGTCCTGGGGTCTGTGATAGGAAGGACTGAAGGCTGGCCTTGGGTTTATATGCAGAGTCTCAGAAAACTGATGAATTGGATAGGAGACACCTCCTTAAGGTTCTATGTGATCTGGCCCCTGCCTGCCCCTCTCACCTCATCTTCTCCCCTCTGTTGTGTCCATGTTGGCTGTGGGGCTATTCTTCACATGTGCCAGCACATTGCTGCCTCAGAGCCGTTGCATCTGCCACCTTCTCTCCTAGATCGCTCATCCCCAAATTCCTGCGTGGGCCATTCCTCCTCTTCATTTAGGTCTCCATTCAAAAGGCTGTCCCCCACAGAGACTCCCCATCGTTCTCCAATTCTCTTTATTTACTTCTTCTCAAAGCACTTACAACCCCAGTCATATTCCATTTATATGTCATCTGTCTTTCCCATTGGAATGCGAGCTCCATGAGGGCAGCCTTTGTTTGCTGTTATAGCCCCATGCTTAGAACAGGGGCCTGGCTCATCCACTGTTAGTGCTCAATAAACACTCACTGAGTGAGTAAGGCACTGGCAGGGCCAACAGGACCTTCTCCTCGTCGGCAGTGGGAAAGTCACTGGTTGCAGAGTCTGAAGACCCGGGTGCTAGTCCAAGCCTTATTTCTGTGTGACCTTAGGCAAGTCACTCCGTTTTCTCTGGAGCTAAATGGGCCCCAGTGGATTGTTTAGCACAACAAAATGAGAGCAGATAATGATAATGTTTTGAAAATCACAATGTTAATGCAAATATAAGACTTTTAAAAAATTACTTCTCGCTTACTAGCAAAACTGTTGCCCATTTTCCGGGAGGACTATAACATGTGTCCTCACTGTGCACCTGTGGGTTTGCCAGGCTGGTAACTTGGAAGCAGGTGAGTTGCCGCCAGGTGGATGGAGGGTCTGGGCAGGATACCTCTGAAGACATCCATACGCAGAGACACCGAACCAGCTCTTCTGCTGAGTTTTTCTGTCAAGAGTATAACTCAGTAAAGGCAATTGAATGTCAGTGTTAATTAGCCACATTCATAGAGACACAATTAGCAAATCACGTGAAGCCCTGGGACACAAAGCTACACCATGTACCCCTTTCTCGCCAGCCTTACCTTTCACCTGTCACTACTGACTGTAACTCAGGTTCCATCTCTAGGCCTGAGAAGTGCCCCTTACAGATCACCCTGATCTTTTATTCCTCTAAAGCAGGGCTCCCCCTAATGCACTCTCTAGAACTCCATGGGATGTTAGATATTAGGAAGGGTTCCATGATCAAACGAGTTTGGGAAATGCTAAGCTAATCAAAGTTACGTGGATTTCTTGGCTGCAGGACTTCTCAGTCTTTACTATGTGAATGTACATTGGGAACCTCCAGCACAGGGTCAGAGTAGGCAGCATGGCTGACAGCAGGACTCTATTCCCCACAGAGCACCTCTCTGGGCTGGCGCTCCACGCGTCTCCTTTGGGAAACTGCTCTAAAGGCCCCACCCTCATTGCTGGTTCTGCCCAGGTCAGGATTGAGAGCAGACGTCACCTGGGCTCTTCCCGTCTTATCTGCCCTCTGCCTGCCCTGCTTCCTTTTTACTCATGACTCAGCCAGGCTATACATCTTCAGTGGCTTTTTCCAGTCAACAGTTTCCCAGGGAAATAGTCTCCCAGCCACTCCCAAGTACCTTCGATCGGGCTGTCCATGTTAGCTGTTGGGGCTTGGTTTATATTGTCACCCAGCAACCATTGCCATGGCAAGGTGAGATGCTTCTACCCTTTGTTTGTATGTTTCTTGTTCCTCCTCCCCGTTCCCTACTACACACTAACGTGGAAGTGCAGGGAAGGCAGGGTGCCCTTGCTTTTTGCTATATATCCAGCACCTATAAGAGTGCTTGGCACATAGAAGGGGCTCAATAAATGTTCATTGCGTGGGAGTGAGTCTGTGGCTTAAAGCTGGAAAATGCTTTTCTATCTCAGAGCTTACCTGAGAAACAAAACGTTTCAGCTGAACGTGAAGGTGCTGGGAAGTGAACACGCCTGACCCTCATTCCCCAGCTCTGAGGCCTGTTTGCTATGGAAAGGGAGATGGGCCTTCTGGAAGGATGGAGGCTATTGTCTGATGATTCTAATTAGGAAGTTGCTGATTGACCAAGCAGCCCCCAAGGAGACCCAGCGCTCAGGGACCTGAGCCGTGTCGGTGGGGAGCAACCTCTCCCTGCACCCACCTGTCAGCACCATGGTCTGGGGGAGTGGCTAAGGGTCTGAGGTGGAGAGAAGGGTCCCTCACAGCCTTCAGATGAAGGCGGCAAGTCTCAAACAATTTATCAAGTGACTCCACGGTGTGGCTCAGTGGTTGAGCATTGACCTATGAACCAGGAGGTCACAGTTTGATTTCTGGTCAGGGCACATGCTCAGGTTTCAGGCTTGATCCCCAACGGGGGCGGTGCAGGAGGCAGCCAATCAATGATTCTCTCTCAGCATTGATGTTTCTCTCTCTCTCTCTTCCTCTCTGAAATCAATAAAAATATATATATATTTTTTAAAAGTGACTCCTCAAAGGTCTGGGAGAAAGTTCAAGTCTGTTGTCCCAGATCAGTAGTTCTCGTGCTTTAGTGGGGAGCTTATGAAAGTGTAGATTTCTAGGCTTTACTCAGACCCACAGAAGCTTAGTGTGTGAAAGCAGCCCAACCAGGTGCATTTTATCAAGTGCCAGGTGACTGATGCAGGTGGCTGTGGACCACATTCCCGGTGATGTCCTCTCTCCCTGCAGCAGTGCCCAGTGAAGAACTCCCCCCCACCCAGGTACACTCTCCCACTTGATCTCCAGGCTTTGTGCAAGTCACTTCACTGCTCAGAGCCTCGTCTCTTATTCCTAAATGGGGTAATGACAGAACGTACCCCATTGGCTTGTTTTAAGATTAAAGTTAATCCTCAGAAGTGAATTGAGCATTTAGTTTAAAAGCACATCAAGCATTCTGCCCAATGCCAGGGACACTGAAAGCCCTGGGTAGCAGTTGACTAGTCTTGTCATCTAATGTGGGGAAGAGAGAAGAGGAGGAGCCACATTTCATTATAATGGGCCCATTTTCCTCCTCACTCCCCAGAAGTTGCAGAAACTGCCCAGAAGGAAATAGTAGCAGCAGTCAGTTCTAAAAAAAGATGCAACCACGTAGCTACTTGGCTCATGAGTCAGTCCAATTTGTCTGTCTGTCTGCTCACAGTCATTGTCAGGCACAGAAGCCACAGGGCAGCCCGGCACCCAGGGAGCTGGGGTTCAGAGGCAAGAATGACGCTCCAACATCTGTCACTCAGTGTATGAGGCAGGTGCCATGTGACTGCCTGAAACAAAGCACCGCTGGTGCCGAGCAGATGAACTGGGAAGCCTTCCTTCTCAGAGCTCCTGGCATTGGAGCTTGGAGTTACAGGCTGGGCAGAGGCTTTCCACTGATGCAGACAGTACAGAGCGGGAAGGAACTAGTTTTAGAGCATGGGCTGGGTTTGAAGCCCAGCTCTGCAAGTGCTGGGTGCTGTTGGGCAAGTCGTTTAACCTCTTTTAGCCTTAGTTTCCTCATCTGTAAAATGGGGATCCTCAAAGTACATATGTCACAGAACTGCTGGGAGAATTTAAAGAGATAAACCAAGTGATATGTACAGGGCCTGGCACATAAGTGTTCAATAAAGATGAACCTTCATCACCACCATTCATTCCAAAAAATGTCTAAGACAGTACCAGGGACTTCATCCTTCTTGGCAGCCGATGTGGCAGCACGAGCGATGAGGCTGCTTTTGAATCATTCCTTCTGTGTCCACCAGGCTGCACATAGGACTAGAGTGACACCCCTACTCAGAGGTGGTGGCATTTCCCCTGCAGCCCTCCCACCTGCCAACCTGCCCAGCAGTTACTCTCCTAGGTCTGTTGGCCCAGGTAGTCTCAGCTTAAGCAGCTTTCACCTGCACACACATTCTAACTTGATTCTACGCAGCAGCTTCCAGACCTGGGTGTGCCAATGTGACCTCAGGCATGCGAGCCTGAGATGGTGGGTTATGTCTCCTGAGCAGCCCCACCCTGCGGAACAGGCAGAGGCGGGGAGGGCTGAAGAGGATGCAGCCCCTTTGGAGCCTTTTATGATGTGGCTCGTCTTTATCTCAACTAAGCTGGGTTTGCACAGATGGGGACTTTGACCAGGTATCAACAGTGGAGTAACCCTCAACAAGTTACTCGAATTGCCTGGGGTTCATGATCCTCAGCTCTGCAGCTGAAATAATGATAGTACCAATCTACAGAGCAAAGATGAAACGCGACAATTTATAAATATAAATGCATAGTACAGTGCCTGGCACACAGGGAGCCCTCCCCGAAGCCCAGCGAGCCTGATTCCCACTGTTCTTGAGGTTGGGATGTGGGTGTGGAAGAGAGGGCTCTGTTCACTCAGCATCTGCTGCCCTGGTCTCCGTCACCAAGAGGTGGACCTAAGCTACTGCACAGAAGCCACCAGCAATTGCATTTAATCATAAAATACACAGCTACTCTTTAATGAGCGAGTAACAGGTATTCCAAGGAGACTATTTTAAGCCATTGTGACCTTTTAGTTAAACTTGCCCAAACTGTGAATTACACTAATTGCTTTCAAATTGCTTCCCCTCTTGAGATTCCAGAATCTTAGTGGAATGGGCCTAGGAAGGCCTGCTAATGAGATTTGTGGCCATTAAGGTCTCCAGTCATGTAAGCACCCACTGTGTGGCTACAGCAGGACACGGGGCCAGACTAAGCAAATGGGAGTTAGCAAGGACCATGCATGTGACCAACACATTCTAAATTTGATCTCTTCCTTGGGGACAGAGGTCACAGGCTGGAACAAAGCATGTCAAACTAACATGTACAGTGCCCCATCGCATCCTATGCTAGCTATGCACCAGTTTGTCCCCTGTTCACCATAACAAACCTTTGTCCCTCTCACCCCCAAAACTCTGGGTACCATTAAAGCTGAATAAGTGATAGGGGACAGCGGGCCTTCTGCCCTCTGGCTGTGCTTAAAGGACAATTGGAATTAGGCATCAAGGCAGGATGCTGTATGTATCTCCAGGGCGGCCTGCACCTGAGCACTGGACTCTTCCAAGCCACCAGGGAGGCCAGACTCCTCTGCCCTCCGCCCCCCACCCCGAGTCTGCCCACCACCCCAGGCCTGGGAGACACACTTCACTACTCAAAGTGTGGCCCTCGGACCAGCAGCAGCAGCAGCAGCAGCAGCTGCACAGGAGCTCATGAGAAACGCCGAAGCTCAGCCCCACCCCAGACTCCTTCGGCATCGTCCTGTTTAAGTTTGTATCTTCAGCACATGTTGCTTTTGTGCAGTCAATACTTTGCTCTTTCAAAAAAAGAGACAGTAGGGAAGTTGTGTGTCTCAGTCTCTTTGGAATGTCATCACAAAATACCGCAGACTGTGTGGCTTATAAACAATAGAAATTGATTTCTCAGGGCTCTGGAGCCTGGAAGTGGGAAATCAGGGCGCCAGCATGGGGTCCTGGTGAGAGCCTCCCTCAGGCTGCAGACTGCCCACCTCGCACCGTGTCTTCCCACAGCAGCAGTGTCCAGGGAGCACTCTCGGGCCTCTTTTCTAATATTTTAATTCAAAATATTTTAAATTACAGTTGATATTGAGTATTAATTAATTTTTCAGGTGTGCAGCATAGTGGTTAGATATTTATATGACTTACCTAATGATCCCTCAGATAATCTTCCACCCACCTGGCACCTCCATGGTTATTACAATAACACTGTATTGACTACATCCCCATGACTATTCTATAACTGCCAATGAATGAAGATTAATCCCTTTATCTCTCTCTCTCTCTCTCTCTCTCTCTCTCTCTCTCTCTCTCCCTCTTAGTAGAATATTTCTAAGGAGTGCTCTCAGTTTATCAGAAGAGGAGAATTGATTCTTTATTTTATTTTATTTTTTTATTGATTTCAGAGAGGAAGGGGGAGATAGAAACATCAATGATGAGAATTATTGATCAGCTGCCTCCTGCACGCCCCCTACTGGGGATCGAGCCCACAACTCTGGCATGTGCCCTTGACCAGAATTGAACCTGGGACTCATCAGTCTGCGGGCAGATGCTCTATCCACGGAGCCAAACCGGCTAGGGCCCTTCATCTCTTCCTTAAGGGCACTAATCCCACTCAGCAGGGCTTCCTCCCTATGACCTAATCACCTCGCAAAGGCCCCACCTCCTAGTAGCATCACCTTGGAGGTTAGGTTTTAACAAATACATCTGGGAGAAGGACACACCCAGCCCAAAGCCCTGTGCTTCTGTTCTCACCTCCCTCTTCTACTCCATCCAACGCAGGCCTTTCACTTCCCCTCGTCCACTCTATCTACAAGTGGATGGTTTCCTGCCTTTTTTCTCAGGGGGCCACCCAGGCACCCCATTTCTTCAACGCACCTAAGGGTGGACCAACCTCACCTCAGGGTGGACCAACCTCTCCTAAGGGTGGACCAACCTCTCCTAAGGGAGGACCAACCTCTCCTAAGAATGGACCAACCTCTCCTAAGGGTGTGCTCTCCGCACAAAATAGTCCCAGTGCAGCGGGGGCAGCAGATTCCAACTCTGGCGCCCTGTGCTCCTCTTGACCCAGATCTCCCTGCTGTCACCTGCGGTGACTGTGGCTCCACTCTTGTGTCCCCGCAGATCACCAAGGCGTCGCGCCGGAGGCTGACGGTGAGCCTGGCGTATTCGGAGAGCCACCAGATCCGCGTGTCGCAGCAGGACTTCCGGCTCTTCCGCACCCTCTTCCTGCTCATGATCTCCTTCTTCATCATGTGGAGCCCCATCATCATCACCATCCTGCTCATCCTGATCCAGAACTTCAAGCAGGACCTGGTCATCTGGCCGTCACTCTTCTTCTGGGTGGTGGCCTTCACGTTCGCCAACGCGGCCCTGAACCCCATCCTCTACAACATGTCCCTGTTCAGGAACGAATGGAGGAAAATTTTCCGGGGCATCTTCTTCCCAGACAAGGGAGCCATGTTTACAGACACGTCTCTCAGGAGAAATGACCTGTCTATCATTTCCACATAATTAATTTCTCTCTAGAGGCAGAGTAGGTCACTCTGGTGAGCCACTGGTGTGTCTTCAAAGGGAGTGCATCTCCAGGACCCTCACACCAGGGTGCCCTGCTTTAGGAAGATGTAACCTATGCAAATACGTTCAGGGCACCAGTAAATTAAGGGGTGATCCTTCAGCAAAAGCATTGTATCCTTTATCAAAGGATTTGTTATGGGTTTCTTGAAATATGAACTTTTTCAGTGTGTTTGTCGTATGATTGAATGTAATAAATTTTTATTTATACCTGTTCAACAATCACATCTCCTGCATATAAAGCCACACCTTGCTGGCTTCTGAAGTGAATCTTGCAACTGGTCCCGGACTCAGATTTCTCTGAAGGGCCACAGCCGCTCTAGGTCCCTTCCCTGGACTCGCAAGGCCTCGGGATCGTTCATTAATGTCGATAATGCTTGAGGAATTTCCCACGAACAACCAAAGGTGATCTTTTAATTTATTTATAAGAAATGCTATGGACCCCTTTAGGAGATTCAGTGTCATGAAATCAGATATAGGATAACACCAATATTTGGAGGCTGGGGGGCGGAGGGGACGGCGCAGAATCATCGTAGGACATACTTTGGGAAGATGGAGCAAGCACAATTTATTGATGGACGGGATGTACAATGTGAGGGAAAGAGAGGATGCAAGGGTGACTTCTAGATTTGTAGCCTGACACTGGTTGGATAGTGGGCCAACCAACAACAAGGGGGGAAGCCTGGGGGTGGGAGAGCCAAGAATTTTATCTAAGGCTTGTGTAAGTGTGAAATCCAGTGAGATCCAAATGGAGAGTAGGTCGTTGGATGCCAGGTTGTGGAGTGTGGGCCTGAAGATGCAATGTGGCGAGTCATCAGATCGTGTTTATGGGCCTAAGCTTTTAGGAATTATTCCTGGGAGAGAAGAGAAAGAAGAAACCAGAGCCAAACAGAACCATGGGACATGCCATCACATGGAAGCTGGGCCCACGCCTGGAATGCGCAGTAGCTTGGGGCCTGGTACATAGTAGGTGCTCAACACGGCTTTGTTGTCAAGTACATCAGCAGCAGTAGTTCCATTGCTTGTGGAGTTTCTTGAATAGCTTCTTCTGAAGTAGGACTTATGGTGCTTGAGGACAAGAGGACAGGGATTTTCTGTTCATCTTTAGCTAATAGACTTGATGAATTAAAACTATTTTGAAGTGATGTGTGGCTATCTTATGGGTCTCTGGGTTGTCAAACTGAGGCTGAAGGGCCTGGCTCTGACAATCTGCTGCTGTGTGTGATGACAGGTAGGCCTTTCCCATACATGGTCACCTGTTTCCTCCTTCCTTGGTGGGAGGACAAGCACACTGGGGTGGGGGACCCAGGAGCCTCCCATGGGCCCTTGATATGCCAGCACCCAGGCAGAGATCTCTGCACACAGGGGCAAGAGGTGTCCTTCCCCACCTGACACATTTCATAGCTGTCAGCCGGGCCTGGCCAGTGTTTGCACAGCTCCCATGTGCTCTAATTGAATCCTCACTGCATCCCATCAGGCAGATACTGTTTCCCCATATTTCACAAGAGAAAAGTGAGGCTCAGAAAAGCCATGTAACCAGCTCAACTCACACAGCGACTATGTCAGAACTGGACTTGGACTTAAAGACTCTGGCACCAAAGCCTCCTGGGAGCTCCTGGGAAACTGGGGCAAATGGCTTTGCAGCAATTGAACAGTGATGTTCACAAGTACTGCTGATGGTGTGGGGTCCTGGTGCTCACCGCCACCCACCATGCCCTTTCCTGCTGCTCCAAGTCCAGGTAGGGAGCACTGGGAGCTTCCCCCAGACCTGGCTTCCAAGGGCCCCATGTTCCAATTCCCTCAGGGAAGCCCAGGGCCTCTTCTCCTCAACATTTTGGCCGCATCTGAAATAAGAAGTGAATTAAGTGCTAGAAACAGGGGAGGGCTGGGATGTTTGCCAGAGCTGACCCAGACCCATGCCTCTCACACACACCCAGGTGAGCCGGCCATGCTGCCCCTTCCCTGGCCCTGGGCTGCCCGGGGCTTTAGGCTCACGGGCCTGGCCTGGCCCACACTCACTCACCTGCTGGTTTAGCCTCGGTGCCTTGGCCAGGCTGGCAGCTAGGGCCTTCCTGGGTTAATGGAGAACACCCTTTGCAGGAAGTTGGGAGAAGCCACTGTCACTAATGGAGATCAGGCACCAGAATAGGCCAAGATCATAAAGAACCAGGGAGGCAAGAACACCTCCAGGGGTATAGAAGCGCACCCTACCCAACCATCTGCAGGACTTCTCACTTCGACAACACGTGGACACAAATGAACACCCACATCATAGGAAACAGGAGACTACGTTTTAATAATTCAAAGTCTGGAATCCTAAGCCTCAAACGATTCCCTAGAAAACCCCAGAAAAAAACATACACCTGACTGCAAATGGATTCACTTGTTCCCACGTGTATTTTTATGTGTCCTGAAGGTTTTATGTGTCCTGAGGAAGAGGGGAGGAGAGAGGGCCAGACTAAACTACGATAAATAGAGTTGAAGGCTGAGCGAAAGTGGGACGTTTTCAAACGAAACTTGACCTCCTTGATGTTGCTACAAAAGGTTTCTTTCTGATTTGCCATCACAGTAACCTGAAATATAGAAAACAAAGTCATCAGCGACAGAAAGATGGACCCAGTGCGTAAGGCAGATTACGAATTCTGGACCCATTCTTGTAAGGTTACAGCAGGATGGGGCTGTAATTCATAATCAGCTTCAAGAATTTTTCTGCAACCCTTTGAATTTATTTGGGGCAATGGGATCTGCTGTATGAAATACTGTTCTTTTTATTTGTCTTAAATTTGCCTCACTGCGTTTCAAAGGGTGGGGGGGGGTGCATCCTCCTTTTCAGAAAGTGTGCCTGATCGCAGCCACCCCACCAGTAATTTTATAGAAAGTTCCCCATGTCCTGTGCCATGTATCACCAGGTGGTGCCACAAGGGGCTTCAGTGCCAAAACAAAACAAAAACACAACATTTTGGTTTGCATCCAACCCAGCTTCTTACTATACAGATCTTGGGCAACTTTTGTAATCTTTCTCAGCCTCTATTTTCTCATCAGATAGATGAGATATAGGCAAAGGGTTTGGCCTGGAGTCTGCCCATGCTGAAATCCTTGCCTGACCACCCCAGGGTGAAACATCAAAATCTTACTGATTTATGTTTTTGCTCTGGGTTCATATTGTTTTGGTGTAGTTTTGCTCAGCTAGTTAGGAGACCGACCGAAAAGTTCAGTTTTGTTCTCTTTTTCCTACATTTTAACATTGCCATAGTTTCCCAGGGGAGTGAGTGTAAAATTCAAGTAGACAGCACTCTTTCCTCTAGAATGTTCCTGGTTTTCAGATCAATATCAGATGAGGATAGAATCTATATAAAGACCCAATTGTCATTCCAGGGAATATCCAAAAATATAAGTGAGGAAGATCAGTCAGTCAATTTGGTTTCATGGTAGAGAAAGAGCATTTGTTGAAATCATTTTGAACTTGCTGTGATCATGTCTCTAAGTTTTTACACCAATGGCCACATTTGCAGCCCAACTCTTCACTGGGGCCACTGAATCCCCAAATAATATTAATTCAGTCAAAATGGGTTTTGGGGGCAGAGCATCCAGGGGCAAAATCCTGTGACTACCGACTGGGCTAAATTGGCAGAAAAAAAGGAAGAGTCCCCTGCAGTTTTACTTAAGTGAAAATGCCAGGTTTTTGAAAAAAGGCGTTTGTCCACTCCTTCCGCATCAGCCCCATGATGAGGCCACTGAAACATCTGATCGAGAAGAGCCAAGACTTGGGCTCCCAGGGGCTCCTAAGGCTCCCTGTTTTCTCATGCAGGCAGATGAAACACATCCCACCGGCAGGTGGGCACAAACTCCCTGCCCACCGACCCCTCAGGGAGAGCTGGCTGCTGCCCGGGCTCCTGCCCACCAGCCCACTCACCATTGTGCATAATCAGCCTATACTGCCTGCCCAGACACAGCTCCTCCTGCCTCCGCCTCACGACCTTCTGCACTTCCGGAGGCAGGCCGTAGGGGTTACGGGCAAACACGAAGGAGTAGCTGTCAGCACAGGTTCCGTCCAAGTTCAGGAGGCGGCAGGAGTACTGCACTGCATAGGTGTCGTAGTCCGTGTCGATGATCCAATGGTCATCGTCTGCAAGCCAGAAACAGAGCCAATGCCCCGCGCTCAGCCAGCTCAGCCCGCAAGGAAACTCCCCAAACTGAGAAGCCAGCGACTTCCTGAAACTGGTTTCATTGTGTTAGGAGCAGAAGACCCCAGAGAATCCCGACAGCTTTTGTAAGTCTGGGAATGTTGTTCTCGTTTATAGATAAAAAGTTCGAGTTGGGGGAACCTCATTCACTTCAATGATTATCTCTCACCCTGATGACAAATGTGATAGCATCTTTTTAAAGAACTGAGCATGTGGGCCCATCAAAACCATGGAATAGATCTTCCTCCTGTGTCTTCTCCATCAATCCCCCAACAGCTATGCCTTAGGGCTGATGTCTGATGGCCACCAACTTATGTTATCTCAACATCTGGATATATCTCTTGAGATGGTCTCTATCAGCTAGCTCCCAGTCATTTCAGTAACCACGCTGCCCTCCTGCCTCTCAGTCACGGGAGGAGGCCACTCTGATGGCCTGGTTCATGGCTTTTCTGGCTCCATCCTAATTCCTGTCTAGTAACCCTGCCCATTTTTCCTAGCAGGCAAAGGAGTAGTTTTTGCTTTGGGGGTGGGTGGGTGGGGGAAGGGCACATGATGCCTACCATCTATCATCAGGTATTCTTTTTAGAGCTTGTACTTGTCAGAACTCCTCTGATAGAGGGAGAGTTAATTCAATGAAAAATTTAGATATTTATTCCTAAGACTGGGGTGTAAGCCACGAATAAGTGTACATGAAGGTGGGGAAATGCCAATGCCAACAAAGGCAGGATGGGAAATAAGGATGTATGTGAAGAATCTGCCATGGAGAAACAATACCCAGGTTTATCTAAATACCTTATATATGGTAAAAAAAAAAAAAAAAAAAAAAAAAAAAAAGTGCCACATCTCTACTTAATTTAACATTCTCATTGACATCTAACCATGAATAGGGCTTTCTGAGCACTTAGTCATGTCAGTCATTGTGTAGACACTTTCCCTTTCCCCCCCAGTTACTTTTTACATGAACCAAAAAGTGCACACTATCACCCCCATTTTATAGATGAGGAAAGTGGGCACGGAGAAACTAAATAATTCACCCAGGATCCCAAAGAGCAGGACAGAACTGGGTTTCAATCGGACTCTGGGGCCCACTTGTGTAAACTCTACACCACGTTGTCTCCAGGCAACAAGTAAATTAGGGGCAGAGGAAACAAGAAACAAAGAGGCTTTGCATCTCTGTCTCATGTGGGTCATGAAACAAGTGATCATCTCTGCCCGTGTCATGCTCCGCACTGGAGGCTGCAGCGGGTCTTGGGTCCCCCAGCATTCGAGGCTGTGAGGGAGACGGCTAACACTGCCTTACGTCACCTCCGGCTGTGCCTCTTGGCTTTGAGAATGCCAGCCAGTAGGAGTTCAGCCCCAGCCCAGGCCCTGCAGGAGGGCTTCATAGCAGGGGGTGGTGGAGGCCCCTCTTCAGCTCACTCCAGGTCCCCCAGGAAGAAAGAGCCACCCCTGCACCTCCCAGGTTTAACCGTGGAGAGAGTGTCAGAGGCCAGGTGGGGGTGCGCAGACACATGACTGCTCAGGGGTGGCCTTGCAGTTATTCAGCAGGTGGGCCAGGAACAGAAGCCAAGGGGCCGCCTGCTGGGCCCCACCCTAACCACCAGCTCCCCTCACAGGCTCTGGGCAGAGTCCGCCTTCTCTCCAAATGAAATCATTTCTTCCCTGGTTATGGGCCTCACTGTGTCTGTCAGTCACAGGCAGCCCAGCAGCCTACCCCTCAGACACAAAAGTACTGTGTGCTTTGAAATATGACCCGGATTCATGATCCAGGCAGCTATTAGCTCAGCAAATCTGCAGCTTAATTTTTCCCCAGAGTTGTTGCCAGAATGGGAATTCTAACATAGGAACTAAGTAACTTTCAAAGCTCAGCTTTAGGAAAATTGGCTACCTTCTTGACTTTTATAAAAGGCCTAAGCTGGCTAGGTGTTATGTCCAGGCTCTTTTTTTGGCTAACTAGTGCAGAGATGAAGAATTTAAACTCTAACAATCTTTACTTGACTCTCCCTCCTACAACAAGAAATGAACTGTCTGAGCCATCCTAGAAAGAGTGAGCTCACGTCTCCCACCTCTTCACTGCCAGCTGCTCGGGTGGGTCCCTCTGCAGAGCCAGACGCCCCAGACATTTCTGGATGGCAGCTATCCGCACACAGCGGAGCCAGGGAGAGTAGAGACAGTAGCCATATGGAGGCCTCTGTGTCTACACAGATGGGATCAGAGGTTTTGATTACCAGTCCCAAATCCAAACAAAAACCCACTCAGTTAGAGGGAGCCACTCTGGCTTCTGTGGTGGGCCTAGAATGTGTCCCTCCAGCTCCCTACGCCTGTGTCTTGCAGTCTCCTAAAGTGATGAAAAGGTCCCTGCAGTTCTCAGGTCTAACTGTCCAGGTGGGCCAGCCGGACGGTGGTGTGATGCTAGTTCTGACTCATCACCTGAAAAACCCAGCAGGCCTTGTCAAAGAGGAGTCTGAGGCCTGGGGACCCCAGTGATTAGCTGTGTGGCCCTAGGCTAGCCACCTCTCTAACGTGGGCTTTCTCTAATTTGTTCATTGGAAAATGAGAGTATTGAACCCGATGCTCTTTGTGGATCCTATCATCCCGGACCCAGACTATCAAGCTATTATTTCATGACTGGGGAGAGCTAAGCAGTAATAATATACACGGAGAGAGAACGCATGTCTGAGGCACTGTTCTAAGTGCTTTCTGCACAGTTAACTCATGGCCTCCCCATAAGACAACACCATGAGGCAGGTGCTATGATCACCTCCTTGTACAGGTGAGGAAACCGAGGCACAGAGAAGATAAGGAACATATCTAAGGTCCCACAAAGTAGGATTTGAACTTGGGCAATCTAACTTTAACTGCGCGCTTAACCACTACACTGCACAGCTTCTTTTCTGAAAAATCCCTGAGAAGGAATTTATCCTTACACCTTCCATAGTTATCTCAATATCATAGCAATCACTTTCAAGAATTCAATACTTTTTCTCTAAATGAAATCATAGATAGAACCGCAATCTACAAGAGGTAAGGGCAGAACTAATCTGGTTAGTTCTCAAGGGGGAGGAGGAGGCAAGAGGCAAAACCCTACTTGCTCATGGGGTCTTCTCTACCCTGCCCAAATGCAGTACCAATAGGATCCTAGTCCTTCAAAGAGTGCATCTCAAAATGCCACTGAGAATTATGTTTATGCTTTTTAGAAAGTAATCTTGTACCCCCGGTATTGACTTTTGTAACGCATTATCAGAAAAGTATATATTTCATGCTATGTGATTCACTTTTGAAAGTTTTGCTTCATTGTTTGTAATAATTATGATTACTTCTAAGGATAAGAGCTTTTTACCCCTTGTAAGATAACAACGCCATCTGTACAGTGTAAATCAGAGCTGAAGCTACATTAGATAAAACATGCGCTTTCATCTAATATACAATTTAGAGGAAGTCAAGGTGTATGTGCCGTGTGTAGAGTGATGGGCCACGTAAAGAATGCTTCTGCCCTGGACGACCAGCTAAGAGAGTCCCCCTGAACAGCCCCCTGTGGCCTATCCCACAGGAGAGACCGATGCTTTGTAAAAGCTGGTCTGTAAATTAGGAGTCCCTGCTGTTCAGGGCCACCTAATCCTGGCCCAGGAGCTGGAACCCCCGGCTCTGACACTGACTCTCACAAACTTGTATGACCGTGAGCAAAGTACTTCGTTCTCTTGGCCTCGGTTTACTCATCTGTTTATTGAAACCTTTGTAGGGTTAACTGTCTCTAAGATCCCATGACACCCACCGCCCCCTCCCCCCCCGGCTTGCACAATTCCCTAAGTACCAAGTAGATTACAGGTTTGACATTTAGGAGAAAAAGGCGGTGGGAGGGGGGAGGTAGAAAGAGCCTACAGATGGTGTGTTCTCATGATCGGGGCAAGTTTTAGGATGCTCTTCTGAGAGTCCTCCATACTCTCTCCTCTCCGCACCTGAGTTTTGGTGCTTGGGAGAAAAGGGAAGAGGGCATTGCCAACAAGGGCACTGTGCCTGGCTCAGAATCTCTGCATCATGAGA